TCCGGACCTCCTGTAGCGACACCCACTCCTCGCCGGAAACTGTCACGCAGAGAGTCCAGAAGACGTGTTTCCGTTAAGGAGCTTTTATGTTGGAAGCGATACGAAAGCAACCACTGTCGGAATCTTCTAGTGACTAAGAGGAGCCATGTCAGAGGGGCTCAGTCACAGACAGAGGTTTGTGGACTTGAACAAACTCTGAGGGAATACGATTTTACGCACAAGCAGCTCATAATCCCATCACATTATCAGACCAATCCAAGCATAGGTGTTTTGGTTCCTTCTCAATAGAAAGAGGACGAATAAGCTTGCATTGTTCTTTCGGTGTTCAGTCCCCCACAAATAGCAAAGCAAAGCGTAATAAGCATAAACAAAGCCAAACAGGTTGTTTTGGGTTGCAGCAACATAGAAAGAAGAATCTTTGATTTCGCTTAATTCGTCCTGTTCTTTGGTGTTAATGCACATTGACCCAGAAATCGCAAAGTGTGTGTAATGAGACCAAAATAACACAACACTGTCTTTCCGCTTCCATATGCGTAGAAAGAACACAAATAAGCTTTGATTGTGCTTATTTCAATTCGCATGGGGTTTTATGGGTGTGCACCAGAATCACCCCCAACCAAAGCACAAAGGTCTTTTGGTCTCCAACTACATGAAAAGAAGCTCTGATTGGGCTTATTTCAAATTGGTGTTTTTGGGGTTAGAATGCACATTCACCCAAAAATCGCAGAGTGACATGTTTATTATCAGACCAAACCAAGCATAGGTGTTTTGGTTCCATCTCAAGATAAAGAGGACGAATAACCTTGCATTGTTCTTTCGGTGTTCATTCACTCACAAATAGCAAAACGAAGTGTAATAAGCCTAAACAAAGCCAAACAGGTTGTTTTGGGTTGCAGCAACATAGAAAGAAGAATCTTGGATTTTGCTTATTTCGTGTTCTTTGTTGTTAATGCACATTAACCCAGAAATCGCAAAGTTTGTGTAATGAGACCAAAATAACACAACACCGTCTTTTCTCTTCCATGCGCGTAGAAAGAAGATAAATAAGCTTTGATTATGCTTATTTCAATTCGCATGGGGTTTTATGGGTGTGCACCAGAATCACCCCCAACCAAAGCCAAAAGGTCTTTTGGGTTCCATCTACATAAAAAGAAGATGATAAAGCTCTGATTGGGCTTATTTCAAATTGGTGTTTTTGGGGTTAGAATGCACATTCACCCAAAAATCGCAGAGTGACATGTTTTTTATCAGACCAAACCAGGCATAGGTGTTTTGGTTCCATCTCAATAGAAAGAGGGCGAATAAGCTTGCATTGTTCTTTCGGTGTTCAGTCCCCTACAATTAGAAAGCGAATTGTAATAAACCTAAACAAAGCCAAACAGGTTCTTTTGGGTTTGCACAACATAGAACGAAGAATCTTTGATTTCGCTTAATTCGTCCTGTTCTTTGGTGTTAATGCACATTGACCCAGAAATCGCAAAGTGTGTGTAATGAGACCAAATAACACAACACTGTCTTTTCGCTTCCATATGCGTAGAAAGAAGACAAATAAGCTTTGATTGTGCTTATTTCAATTCGCATGGGGTTTTATGGTTGTGCACCAGAATCTCTCCCAACCAAAGGACAAAGGTGTTTCGGCTTCCAACTACATGAAAAGAAGCTCTGATTGGGTTTATTTCAAATTGGTGTTTTTGGGGTTAGAATGCACATTCACCCAAAAATCGCAGAGTGACATGTTTATTATCAGACCAAACCAAGCATAGGTGTTTTGGTTCCATCTCAAGATAAAGAGGACGAATAACCTTGCATTGTTCTTTCGGTGTTCATTCACTCACAAATAGCAAAACGAAGTGTAATAAGCCTAAACAAAGCCAAACAGGTTGTTTTGGGTTGCAGCAACATAGAAAGAAGAATCTTGGATTTTGCTTATTTCGTGTTCTTTGGTGTTAATGCACATTAACCCAGAAATCGCAAAGTTTGTGTAATGAGACCAAAACAAAACAACACCGTCTTTTCGCTTCCATGCGCGTAGAAAGAAGATAAATAAGCTTTGATTATGCTTATTTCAATTCGCATGGGGTTTTATGGGTGTGCACCAGAATCACCCCCAACCAAAGCCAAAAGGTCTTTTGGGTTCCATCTACATAAAAAGAAGATGATAAAGCTCTGATTGGGCTTATTTCAAATTGGTGTTTTTGGGGTTAGAATGCACATTCACCCAAAAATCGCAGAGTGACATGTTTTTTATCAGACCAAACCAAGCATAGGTGTTTTGGTTCCATCTCAATAGAAAGAGGGCGAATAAGCTTGATTGTTCTTTCGGTGTTCAGTCCCCTACAATTAGAAAGCGAATTGTAATAAGCCTAAACAAAGCCAAACAGGTTGTTTTGGGTTGCAGCAACATAGAACGAAGAATCTTTGATTTCGCTTAATTCGTCCTGTTCTTTGGTGTTAATGCACATTGACCCAGAAATCGCAAAGTGTGTGTAATGAGACCAAAATAACACAACACTGTCTTTTCGCTTCCATATGCGTAGAAAGAAGACAATTAAGCTTTGATTGTGCTTATTTTAATTCGCATGGGGTTTTATGGGTGTGCACCAGAATCACCCCCAACCAAAGCACAAAGGTCTTTTGGCCTCCAACTACATAAAAAGAAGCTCTGATTGGGCTTATTTCAAATTGGTGTTTTTGGGGTTAGAATGCACATTCACCCAAAAATCGCAGGGTGACATGTTTGTTATCAGCCCAAATCAAGCATAGGTGTTTTGGTTCCATCTCAAGAGAAAGAGGACGAATAACCTTGCATTGTTCTTTCGGTGTTCATTCACTCACAAATAGCAAAACGAATTGTAATAAGCCTAAACAAAGCCAAACAGGTTGTTTTGGGTTCCAACTACATAAAAAGAAGCTCTGATTGGGCTTATTTCAAATTGGTGTTTTTGGGGTTAGAATGCACATTCACCCCAAAATCGCAGAGTGACATGTCTATTATCAGCCCAAACCAAGCATAGGTGTTTTGGTTCAATCTCAATAGAACGAGGACGAATAAGCTTGGATTGGTCTTTCGGTGTTCACTCACAAATAGCAAAGCGAGTTGTACTAAGCCTAAAAGCTAAACAGCTAAACGCTAAAAAAGCTAAACAGGTTCTTTTGGGTTCCAGCTACATGGAACGAAGAATCTTTGATTTCGCTTATTTCAAGTCGTGTTCTTTGGTGTTAATGCACATTGACCTAGAAATCGCAAAGTGTGTGTAATGAGACCAAAATAACACAACATTGTCTTTTCGCTTCCAAATGCATAGAACGAAGACAAATAAGCTTTGATTGTGCTTATCTCTATTCGCGTGGTGTTTTTTGGGTGTGCACCACAATCACCCCCAACCAAAGCAAAAAGGTCTTTTGGGTTCCATCTAAATAAAAAGAAGCTAAATAAAAAGATTGGGCTTATTTCAAATTGGTGTTTTTGGCGTTAGAATGCACATTCACCCAAAAATCGCAGAGTGACATGTTTATTATCAGACGAATCCAAGCATAGGTGTTTTGGTTCCATCTCAAGAGAAAGAGGACGAATAACCTTGCATTGTTCTTTCGGTGTTCATTCACTCACAAATAGCAAAACGAATTGTAATAAGCCTAAACAAAGCCAAACAGGTTGTTTTGGGTTGCAGCAACATAGAAAGAAGATTCTTGGATTTTGCTTATTTCGTGTTCTTTGGTGTTAACGCACATTAACCCAGAAATCGCAAAGTGTGTGTAATGAGACCAAAATAAAAGAACACCGTCTTTTCGCTTCCATGCGCGTAGAAAGAAGACAAATAAGGCTGTCCCAGGCTGATATGAGTGATGCCTGCTAACCAGGTGCAATCAATCAAATCAAAGTTTTCTATAAAAGCTGTAGGCTGAAGGGGCTCAGTGAGTTTCTTCACAAATGGAGGTACCAGATGCTGTGAGACTGTCGGCCGGGGGTCTCTCTCGCTGCTCTACCTGGAGCTCCGGGCAGCTGAAGGGGAGATTGTGTGCGACTCCTCTCTGGTATGTTATAATTTGTGTTTTGTATGCCTGCTGCTATCTGTTAACCTTATGCAAATAAAGCATTGCTTATTCTTCATCCACTGGCGTGCTTATTGGCTCCAGATCCAGAAATAACCCTGCCCTTGGCAGAACATATACAGCGCTTTTTTTCTGGGGGGGACGCAGGGGAATGGATACTCCTAAAACATTTTGTGAATGTACTTTTGTCCATTTACTGTATTTATTTTTCCCGGTTTGAACTATAAAATGGTGATTTTCTTGAGTGAAAATGAGAGTATCCCCAGTCAGTTTTTTTAGAAAAGAAGTACTGCATAGATACACACACACATATACATATATCCATTTTATTTTTATATATTTACAAACGGACACCTATATCTAGGTATGTATATTCTTGTATATAAACTTCCGCGGCCCACCCGCACCATCCTACCGCAAAGGGGCACGAGAGGAAGGCCACTGGGGGAGAAAGGCAGGTGAGGACGAGGCGGGGGGCAGGGCTGCATCCTGGGGAGAGCGGGGTCGAGAGGGAGAGTGGGTGGGAGAAAGAGAGAGGGCCAGCCTCGCTCGGCACGTCTCGGCTGGCCCAACGTCGCAGCGCCTCTTCCGCCCATTTCCCTCCCCTTCCTGTGCTCATGCCTCTCCTCCGGTGGCACGTCCTTCCGGTACCCCTGCCCTCGCCCAACATGGCGACAGCACAGCCTCTTCCGCCCATTTCCCTCCCCTTCCTGTCCTCTCGCCTCTCCTCCGGTGGCACCTCCTTCCGGTACCCCCTGCCCTCGCCCAACATGGCGGCAGCACAGCCTCTTCCGCCCTTCCCCACCCCTTCCTGTCCTCTTCCCTCTCCTCCGGTGGCACCTCCTTCCGGTACCTCTGCCCTCGCACAACATGGCGGCAGCACAGCCTCTTCCGCCCTTCCCCACCCCTTCCTGTCCTCTTGCCTCTCCTCCGGTGGCACCTCCTTCCGGTACCTCTGCCCTCGCGCAACATGGCGGCAGCACAGCCTCTTCCGCCCTTCCGTGCTAGGAGTGCAGAAAAAGGTGAAACTTCCACGAAAAGGAGAGGAGGAGTGTGTGAGTGAGTGAGTGAGTGAGAGTGAGACAGGGAGCATCCTAGTAGAGATGGAAGGCGAACCGAAGGGTCATCTAGTCCAACCCTCTGCAAAGAAGCTCAGAGCTACAATTCCCAGGTCTTCTTTGGGAATTCTATGGGAAGTAAGAGTTTCCATATTCATGAGCTTTCACTTAGAGTGCGCTCATGTTTTTACCTTTTACTGAAAGCGGTCACAAGTGACTTGGGTGGAGTATAAATAATAAAATTATATTGCTCCTGCTGCTGTTCTTCTCTTAGCTTAACTCAAATCCAACCCAATACCAAACCTTAATCCTAATGCTCACCCTAACTCAAACCCAATCACCCAAAAATCGCAGAGTGACATGTTTATTATCAGCCCAAACCAAGCATAGGTGTTTTGGTTCCATCTCAATAGAAAGAGGACGAATAAGCTTGGATTGTTCTTTCGGTGTTCAGTCCCCACAAATAGCAAAGCAAAGTGTAATAAGCCTAAACAAAGCCAAACAGGTTGTTTTGGGTTGCAGCAACATAGAAAGAAGAATCTTGGATTTTGCTTATTTCGTGTTCTTTGGTGTTAATGCACATTGACCCAGAAATCGCAAAGTGTGTGTAATGAGACCAAAATAACACCACATTGTCTTTTCGCTTCCATACGCGTAGAAAGAAGACAAATAAGCTTTGATTGTGCTTATTTCTTTTCGCATGGTGTTTTTTGGGTGTGCACCAGAATCACCCCCAACGAAAGCAAAAAGGTCTTTTGGGTTCCATCTACATAAAAAGAAGATGATAAAGCTCTGATTGGGCTTATTTCAAATTGGTGTTTTTGGGGTTAGAATGCACATTCACCCAAAAATCGCAGAGTGACATGTTTGTTATCAGCCCAAACCAAGCATAGGTGTTTTGGTTCCATCTCAATAGAAAGAGGACGAATAAGCTTGCATTGTTCTTTCGGTGTTCAGTCCCCCACAAATAGCAAAGCGAAGTGTAATAAGCCTAAACAAAGCCAAACAGGTTGTTTTGGGTTACAGCTACATAGAACGAAGAATCTTTGATTTCGTGTATTTCAAGTCGTGTTCTTTGGTGTTAATGCACATTGACCCAGAATCGCAAAGTGTGGGTAATGAGACCAAAATAACACAACATTGTCTTTTCGCTTCCATATGCCTAGAAAGAAGACAAATAAGCTTTGATTGTGCTTATTTCAATTCGCATGGGGTTTTATGGGTGTGCACCAGAATCACCCCCAACCAAAGCGAAAAGTTCTTTTGGGTTCCATCTACATAAGAAGAAGATGATAAAGCTCTGTTTGGGCTTATTTCAAATTGGTGTTTTTGGGGTTAGAATGCACATTCACCCAAAAATCGCAGATGATAACAGTAGGTAATTTATTTATTATTTATTATTTACAGAAATATGGGAGCTACCCCCACTCTGTTGTCTCACCCATCTTTCAGCACTGATATTTCCTCCCTCTGACCCAGATTTGGCTTTCATCAGGTATCAAAAAACCTGAAGCATTTTTATTAGGCATTGTAGGAACTGATATAAATAGAAGTGATTGTAAGTTGTTTTTGTATGCAATGACGGCAGCACGAATTTTATTGGCACAAAAATGGAAGCAAGAAGAATTACCGGCGAAAGAAGAGTGGAGGATGAAACTGATGGACTATGCAGAACTGGACAAATTAACGGGAAGAATCCGAAACCAGCGGGACCAGAGATTTACAGAAGATTGGCGTAAATTTACGGACTATATGAAAAGTAATTGTGATGACTCGATTACATTTGTAGGTTTGCAGGAAGTTTTGTAAGGGGAATAATTTGAATTATTGCCTTATTGAATGAAAGGGATGATATCGGTTATGAGGTTAAAGGTAATATAAATTTAAGAAATGCAGGAGAAATCTTAAAGACGGGAGATCATCAGAGGAGCTAACGGAAGTCCAAAAGATTGTATAAGAGTTGGAAATTTGTAAAATGTATGACAATATAAATGTGTTTAAAACGAATAAAAAATTATATATATATATATATATATATATATATATATATATAAACCCATCACCAAGGGATCCTTTCAACCTGTGTTATCCTCTGAACCTACCTCACAGGGTTGTTGCAAGGAACAATGGGCGGGGCGAACCATGGACTCCTTGGAGAAAGCAGGGGAGACCAAGGCAATAGGAAGCTTCTCCTTCCTTGAAGGTTTTGAAGCAGGGTTTTGATGGCTGTCTGTCCTGGATGTTTGAACTGAGATTCATGCCTTGTAGGGGGTTGGACTAATGACTGCCACACTCCCGTCCAACTCTATCATTCTACGTTTTTTGAAATAAGCTCTTCTGCTTTAATGAAGTTGGAGGGTCCAGCCAGACGGACATATCCATTGCCAACCTGGCACCCAGAGATCTCCATGTAGTTGCAGTTGGCCCCACACCTGTGGCAAAATGCACCTGGCGAATGTTGAACCCTGAAGTTAGGGCAGGGCAAAACCCACCACCATGGCTGTCAAATTCCTGGCAGCAGCAGCACTCCTCTGCCTTTATATGGATTGGGACAGGAACATAAAGGCACCTGGAAGTCCTTGGTCCCGTTGAAAGTGGCCTCCTCAGGGAACCAGAAGTTGCTGGCACGGCTGCAGATCGGCTCCCTCTTCTTCTCTGTCTGGGACTAGATGTTCAGACAGTTGGCGTCCAACCCATGCAGCTGGAAGGGAAACGTAGCGCTAGAGCCAAGGGTCCAACCCTCTTGGCAGCACGGAGCACAGGCCTATTATAGGGTCGGCCAATATTATTAATATTCAATAATTCTCATCATATTGGCCACCTGATGAAAGCCAAATCTGGGTCAGAGGGAGGAAATATCAGTGCTGAAAGATGGGTGAGCCAACAGAGTGGGGGTGCCGGCAACATAGATGAAGTAGCCTGTGCTGAGGCAAGGCCAGCAAGATGCCATCCCAAGGGTAATATTTATTCATTTTGTGGACTGCAGGAGGCATCACCGTAGAACATACAGTATATCATATTATATATATCTTTTTTTACACCAGAGCTTTCCAAACAGCTTGTTGTGACACTCTATACATTGTATATAGAGCGCCCTTCACCCCAAGATGGTTGATCTATATAAATTATCTGTCTATGGACACACACACACACATATACATATCCATCCATCCATTTTATTTATATACATATATCCATGCATATATGTAGATAGATACACATACATATATCCACATATCCATTTTATGTACACACACACACACACACACACAGAGTCAAACCTTGGTTGTCGAACATAATCAATTCCGGAAGCCTGTTCGGCTTCCAAAACATTAGACAACCAAAGCATGGCTTCCAATTGGCTGCAAGAGCTTCTTGCACTCAAGCAGAAGCTGCGTTGGATGTTTGACTTCCAAAAACTGGAGCATTTACTTCCAGGTTTTCAGCATTCTGGAGCCGAAACATTCCAAAACGGAGCCGTCTGGGAACTGAGGTTTGACTGTATATGCATGCGCGTGTGCGTGCGCGCACACACACATGTATCAATTTTATAGATATATAATACACACACACACACACACACACACTGTAGGGGAAACACGGAAGACCATTGTAAATTCAAGGAGTTAGATGACATGTCTCTTTCGCTTTTACATCCGCGGTTTAAGGTTTGCTAAAACATGATAGTATAATTTGTTTTTCACACACCTGTGTCAGGAGTTTTCTGGGTCCCCTGTGTTCTAAGTGCTGATTGGCTAGTGGGGAGGATACCCAGTTGCAGTGAATTGGGTTGGAGACTCTCAGCTGCTCTGCATTAGTTGCACCTGGTGTCCCAGGCTGATATGAGTGATGCCTGCTAACCAGGTGCAATCAATCAAATCAAAGTTGTCTATAAAAGCTGTAGGCTGAAGGGGCTCAGTGAGTTTCTTCACAAATGGAGGTACCAGATGCTGTGAGACTGTCGGCCAAGGGGTCTCTCTCGCTGCTCTACCTGGAGCTCCGGGCAGCTGAAGGGGAGATTGTGTGCGACTCCTCTCTGGTATGCTGTAATTTGTGTTTTGTATGCCTGCTGCTATCTGTTAACCTTATGCAAATAAAGCATTGCTTCATCCACTGGCGTGCTTATTGGTTCCAGATCCAGAAAAAACCCTGCCCTTGGCAGAACATATACAGCGCTTTTTTTCTGGGGGGGACGCAGGGGAATGGATACTCCTAAAACATTTTGTGAATGTACTTTTGTCCATTTACTGTATTTATTTTTCCCGGTTTGAACTATAAAATGGTGGTTTTCTTGAGTCAAAATGAGAGTATCCCCAGTCACTTTTTTTTAGAAAAGAAGTACTGCATAGATACACACACACATATACATATATCCATTTTATTTTTATATATTTACAAACGGACACCTATATCTAGGTATGTATATTCTTGTATATAAACTTCCGCGGCCCACCCGCACCATCCTACCGCAAAGGGGCACGAGAGGAAGGCCACTGGGGGAGAAAGGCAGGTGAGGACGAGGCGGGGGGCAGGGCTGCACCCTGGGAGAGCGGGGTCGACAGAGAGAGTGGGTGGGAGAAAGAGAGAGGGCCAGCCTCGCTCGGCACGTCTCTGCTGGCCCAACGTCGCAGCGCCTCTTCCGCCCATTTCCCTCCCCTTCCTGTGCTCATGCCTCTCCTCCGGTGGCACGTCCTTCCGGTACCCCTGCCCTCGCGCAACATGGCGGCAGCACAGCCTCTTCCGCCCATTTCCCTCCCCTTCCTGTCCTCTCGCCTCTCCTCCGGTGGCACCTCCTTCCGGTACCCCTGCCCTCGCCCAACATGGCGGCAGCACAGCCTCTTCCGCCCATTTCCCTCCCCTTCCTGTCCTCTCGCCTCTCCTCCGGTGGCACCTCCTTCCGGTACCCCCTGCCCTCGCCCAACATGGCGGCAGCACAGCCTCTTCCGCCCTTCCCCACCCCTTCCTGTCCTCTTGCCTCTCCTCCGGTGGCACCTCCTTCCGGTACCTCTGCCCTCGCGCAACATGGCGGCAGCACAGCCTCTTCCGCCCTTCCGAGCTAGGAGTGCAGAAAAAGGTGAAACTGCCATGAAAAGGAGAGGAGGAGTGTGTGAGTGAGTGAGTGAGTGAGTGAGAGTGAGACAGGGAGCATCCTAGTAGAGATGGAAGGGGAACCCAAGGGTCATCTAGTCCAACCCTCTGCAAAGAAGCTCAGAGCTACAATTCCCAGGTCTTCTTTGGGAATTCTATGGGAAGTAAGAGTTTCCATATTCATGAGCATTCACTTAGAGTGCGCTCATGTTTTTACCTTTTACTGAAAGCGGTCACAAGTGACTTGGGTGGAGTATAAATAATAAAATTATATTGCTCCTGCTGCTGTTCTCTTAGCTTAACTCAAATCCAACCCAATACCAAACCTTAATCCTAATGCTCACCCTAACTCAAACCCAATCACCCAAAAATCGCAGAGTGACATGTTTATTATCAGCCCAAACCAAGCATAGGTGTTCTGGTTCCATCTCAATAGAAAGAGGACGAATAAGCTTGGATTGTAATAAGCCTAAACAAAGCCAAACAGGTTGTTTTGGGTTGCAGCAACATAGAAAGAAGAATCTTGGATTTTGCTTATTTCGTGTTCTTTGGTGTTAATGCACATTGACCCAGAAATCGCAAAGTGTGTGTAATGAGACCAAAATAACACAACACTGTCTTTTCGCTTCCATACGCCTAGAAAGAAGACAAATAAGCTTTGATTGTGCTTATTTCTATTCACATGGTGTTTTTTGGGTGTGCACCAGAATCACCCCCAACCAAAGCAAAAAGGTCTGTTGGGTTCCAACTACATAAAAAGAAGATGATAAAGCTCTGATTGGGCTTATTTCAAATTGGTGATTTTGGGGTGAGAATACACATTCAGCCAAAAGTCGCAGAGTGACATGTTTGTTATCAGCCGAAACCAAGGATAGGTGTTTTGGTTCCATCTCAATAGAAAGAGGACGAATAAGCTTGCATTCTTCTTTCGGTGTCCAGTCCCCCACAAATAGCAAAGCAAATTGTAATAAACCTAAGGAAAGCCAAACAGGTTCTTTTGGGTTCCAGCAACTCAGAAATAAGAATCTTGGATTTCGCTTATTTCAAGTCGTGTTCTTTGGTGTTAATGCACATTGACCCAGAAATCGCAAAGTGTACGTAATGAGACCCAAATAACACAACACTGTCTTTTCGCTTTCATATGCATAGAAAGAAGACAAATAAGCTTTGATTGTGCTTATTTCAATTCTCATGGTGTTTTTTGGGTGTGCACCAGACCCAACCAAAGCAAAAAGGCCTTTTGGGTTCCACCTACCTAAAAAGAAGATGATAAAGCTCTGATTGGGCTCATATCAAATTGGTGATTTTGGGGATAGACCCCACATACACCCAAAAGTCGCAGAGTGACATGTTTGTTATCAGCCGAAACCAAGGATAGGTGTTTTGTCTCCATCTGAATAGAAAGAGGACGAATAAGCTTGCATTCTTCTTTCGGTGTTCAGTCCCCACAAATAGCAAAGCGAAGCGTAATAAACCTAAGGAAAGCCAAACAGGTTCTTTTGGGTTCCAGCAACTCAGAAATAAGAATCTTGGATTTCGCTTATTTCAAGTCGTGTTCTCTGGTGTTAATGCACATTGACCCAGAAATCTCAAAGTGTGTGTAATGAGACCAAAATAACACAACACTGTCTTTTCGCTTCCATATGCGTAGAAAGAAGACAAATAAGCTTTGATTGTGCGTATTTCAATTCGCATGGTGATTTTGGGTGTGCACCAGAATCACCACCAACCATAGCAAAAAGGTCTTTTGGGTTCCATCTACATAAAAAGAAGATGATAAATCTCTGATTGGGCTTATTTCAAATTGGTGTTTTTGGGGTTAGAATGCACATTCACCCAAAAATCGCAGAGTGACATGCTTTTATCAGACCAAACCAAGCATAGGTGTTTTGGTTCCATCTGAATAGAAAGAGGACGAGTAAGCTTGCATTGTTCTTTCGGTGTTCTGTCCGCCACAAATAGCAAAGCGAAGTGTAATAAGCCTAAACAAAGCCAAACAGGTTGTTTTGGGTTGCAGCAACATAGAAAGAAGAATCTTGGATTTCGCTTATTTCAAGTCGTGTTCTTTGGTGTTAATGCACATTGACCCAGAAATCTCAAAGTGTGTGTAATGAGACCAAAATAACACAACACTGTCTTTTCGCTTCCATATGCGTAGAAAGAAGACAAATAAGCTTTGATTGTGCTTATTTCAATTCGCATGGGGTTTTTTTGGGTGTGCACCAGAATCACCCCCAACCAAAGCAAAAAGGTCTTTTGGGTTCCATCTACATAAAAAGAAGATGATAAAGCTCTGATTGGGCTGATTTCAAATTGGTGTTTTTGGGGTTAGAATGCACATTCACCCAAAAATCGCAGAGTGACATGTTTGTTATCACCCCAAATCAAGCATAGGTGTTTGGTTCCATCTGAATAGAAAGAGGACGAATAAGCTTGCATTCTTCTTTCGGTGTTCATTCACTCACAAATAGCAAAGCGAATTGTAACAAACCTAAGCAAAGCCTAACAGGTTCTTTTGGGTTGCAGCAACATAGAAAGAAGAATCTTGGATTTCGCTTATTTCGTGTTCTTTGGTGTTAATGCACATTGACCCAGAAATCGCAAAGTGTGTGTAATGAGACCCAAATAACACAACACTGTCTTTTCGCTTCCATATGCATAGAAAGAAGACAAATAAGCTTTGATTGTGCTTATTTCAATTCGCATGGTGTTTTTTGGGTGTGCACCAGACAACCCCAACCAAAGCAAAAAGGTCTGTTGGGTTCCAACTAAATAAAAAGAAGATGATAAAGCTCTGATTGGGCTGATTTCAAATTGGTGTTTTTGGGGTTAGAATGCACATTCACCCAAAAGTCGCAGAGTGACATGTTTGTTATCAGCCGAAACCAAGGATAGGTCTTTTGGCTCCATCTGAATAGAAAGAGGACGAATAAGCTTGGATTGTTCTTTCGGTGTCCAGTCCCCCACAAATAGCGAAGCGAATTGTAATAAGCCTAAACAAAGCCAAACCGGTTGTTTTGGGTTGCAGCTACATAGAAAGAAGAATCTTGGATTTAGCTTATTTCATTTCGTGTTCTTTGGTGTTAATGCACATTGACCCAGAAATCGCAAAGTGTGTGTAATGAGACCAAAATAGCACAATACTGTCTTGTCTCTTCCATATGCGTAGAAAGAAGACAAATAAGCTTTGATTGTGCTTATTTCAGTTCGCATGGTGTTTTTTGGGTGTGCAGCAGAATCACCCCCAACCAAAGCAAAAAGTTCTTTTGGCTTCCATCTACATAAAAGAAGATGATAAAGCTCTGATTGGGCTTATTTCAAATTGGTGTTTTTGGGGTTAGAATGCACATTCACCCAAAAATCGCAGGGTGACATGTTTGTTATCAGCCCAAATCAAGCATAGGTGTTTTGGTTCCATTTCAATAGAAAGAGGACGAATAAGCTTGCATTCTTCTTTCGGTGTTCAGTCTCCCACAAATAGCAAAGTGAAGTGTAATAAGCCTAAACAAAGCCAAACAGGTTGTTTTGGGTTGCAGCTACATAGAACAGAGGGTGTTCTATCGCAAAGTGTGTGTAATGAGACCAAACTAATACAACACTGTCTTTTCGCTTCCATATGCGTAGAAAGAAGACGAATAAGCTTTGATTGTGCTTATTTTAATTGACATGGTGTTTTTTGGGTGTGCACCAGAATCACCCCCAACCAAAGCAAAAAGGTTTTTTGGCTTCCATCTACATAAAAAGAAGATGATAAAGCTCTGATTGGGCTGATTTCAAATTGGTGTTTTTGGGGTAGAATGCACATTCACCCAAAAATCACATATGTTTGTTATTTGTTCAAATCAAGCATAGGTGTGTTTGTTCCATCTGAATAGAAAGAGGACGAATAAGCTTGGATTGTTGATTCGGTGTTCATTTACTCACAAATAGCGAAGCGAATTGTAATAAGCCTACACAAAGCCAAACAGGTTGTTTTGGGTTGCAGCTACATAGAAAGAAGAATCTTGGATTTCGCTTATTTCAAGTCGTGTTCTCTGGTATTAATGCACATTGACCCAGAAATCTCAAAGTGTGTGTAAGGAGACCAAAATAACACAACACTGTCTTTTCGCTTCCATATGCGTAGAAAGAAGACGAATAAGCTTTGATTGTGCTTATTTCAATTCGCATGGTGTTTTTTGGGTGTGCACCAGAATCCGCCCCAACCAAAGCAAAAAGGTCTGTTGGGTTGCAACTAAATAAAAAGAAGATGATAAAGCTCTGATTGGGCTTATTTCAAATTGGTGTTTTTGGGGTTAGAATGCACTTTCACCCAAAAATCGCAGTGTGACATGTTTGTTACCAGCCCATATCAAGCATGGGTGTTTTGGTTCCATCTCAATAGAGACGACGAAGAAGCTTGCATTATTCTTTCGGTGTTCAGTCCCCCACAAATAGCAAAGCGAAGTGTAATAAGCCTAAACAAAGCCAAACAGGCTGTTTTGGGTTGCAGCAACATAGAAAGAAGAATCTTGGATTTCGCTTATTTCGTGTTCTTTGGTGTTAATGCACATTGACCCAGAAAACGGAAAGTGTTTGTAATGAGACCAAAATAACACAACACTGTGTTTTCGCTT